TGACTGGGATTTTAAGAAAATATTGGGCTAGTATTTATTAAAGATAATAAATCTGACGAATGTATTTATTAAATATAGCATAGGTCTATAGGGCAGGGTTGGTCAATGCATTGCAATACGCGGTTTTGTCAATTAATCGAATTGTATCAGGACTTCAATTTGATCCGTAACAGGAGACCACTTATTTTTTCTTATATGTGTTCAAAAATGTGTGCGTTTACTGTGTGCCAGGATTACACGGGGACAAGCCCATCCCCTCGACATGTGATCCTGGGTATGGGGATACATTTTTCTCAAAATGCACACAGCTCTGAAATCCTTGACCAGTGATCACTCGCCATGAAACTCTTTCTTCTGTGACTGTAAACACAAGTTTCTTCATTATCACATCTGAATGAGCCTATCATTCATGCATTAGAAACCACACTCTCAACAAACAAAAAAATGACTTTGAACATATATTCAGGAAACATATGCCAGTTCCACTCTTGTTTACTTTGTTTTGCATTATTGGCTTTTATGTGTAAAACAATATTTGAGGCCTTTTCTGCATTTTAGTGTTTTTGGCAGCATGTTTAATAGGCCTATGTATTTTATGTGCAACCGACACATTCTCCAATCTCTTGTATTTATTAGACTTGCATGTGCTTTAAACAAAGCATGTTGTACACACTATATTTCACTGATGTAAACACAAGAGTGAATTCTTAAAGTTAGAAATACATGTAATACATTTCCTCAATATAAACTCAATTTATTTATCTCTTTCTAGTAAATTGGAGAAAAGGCTTATATTGTTCTTTTTTGCTTTCTGTGGATCCAATGGCTTTAAGGTTAATGACAATGTAATTGTAGAGAGCATGTTACTGTCAGCGTCCCCTTTATCGTAGTTCTTGTCAAGACTATATCGAGATATTTTGCCAACAGAATTAATGTTCATAATTAGTGTTATTATCAAGTGTATTGTGATTGTGAAGATCTTTAGTAGATCTAGATCCCATCCCATCATTAAAAAAGCACCAAACCAACAACACAAAAACATTGTAACATTGCCAATTATGACATGTTGTTGGCAATAAAAATGTATGAGACTATTTCACTGTATTTCCTCTTCGAAGAAACTTTTAAAATACTGTTGTAAGGTGTCTTCCAAGCCCTACCACTAGCATCAGCATGCATAGCAACGCGAAGCCTCGCTGTGCAGCGTAGCCAAAGCTGCCCTCAACAGGCCGCCATGTTTTAGTTTCAATTCCTCACAGCGAATCGGCGATCGCAAAGAAGGAGTTCCGTTTCTATAAGTGTAGAATTCTGTGCAGCCACTTGACCTCATGAAACTGCCGCGGTCTGGCACATCGACTCTAGATCTAGATCTCTCCCCCCCCCCCTCTCCTGCATTCTTCATCACTAATATACATTAAAAAACAAACTTCAAAGCAGCTCTACAAATTATAATTTATGGGGCTGTTGGTCAGTCCGGAGGAGGAAAAGAGAAAAAAAAATAGTCCGGGACCGGAATCGAACCGCTCCTAAAATCATTGCATGACTTCAAACGCAGACGCGCTGTCTATTCGGTCATCAGAACTTCCGAGAGCGTGGTGTAGATTAAGCATTATAACATAAACACTTCCATCTTTGGTGCCATGCGGTTGGCTATACACTTAGATGTAGTCACGTGATCGGAGGGGTATCCTGGTGTGACGTCAAACAAGATGGGCGCCATACCTAAAAATAGTTTGCGTCTTTCTACGTTTAATTGCATGTAAGCAAGGGTAACCCTGGACATGCTAAATTTAAATTGTTCACAGAGTAGGGAGTAGTGCAAGGCCCCACACATTTCCCTTCTTCGTCCAAAGTTTAGTGATCTTTTCAGCCTTGTTTCACATAGATAAAAATGAATGTTATTTGATTATTATTATATTAATGTGTCAAATTAGATCAAAACCTTCTTCAAATTTCAAAAGGGAATTTTGATATGTGAACAAAATAGTCAGCGAAGGCTCTTAAAAAAATTAAATCTAGCTTCTAGAGATCTAGAAGTCAAGATCTAGATATCTAATGACTGAAAAAAGCAATCCATCTTTCAAAATTTTTATACATGATTTCCAGGCATAGTCTCTACAGGCGGCTCTCGTGGCCTAGAGGTTAAGGTGTTGGTCTCTCATTCAAAGGTCCCGGGTTCGAATCCTGGTAGTGACCGAAAAATTTTCTTCTCTCAAATTGTCTCCTTTCACCTCCTTTCCTGCTCTCTAACAATGTTCTGTAGTCTGCTTTCGTTTCCACTTTCTGCCCCCACCCCCTCACCTCCTTTGCCCCCTCCTCTGGGCTCCTGACTCTTTCTGCAGCCTTTCTACTGCTACTCCTTGGTTCCTCCTAACTGCTGTCTTTCTGCCACACCCCTGATCTTCCGGTAGGAAAGATCTACACCTAGCCTTCTCGGATGAGGGCGAAAAATCAAGTTGCGCACGTTAAAGATCCCTTGGTGGTCTAAAATCGATAAGAGTAGGCTTCGGCCGCCACCCGGGCAAAATTCAAAATTTCCTACCAACTGAACATATTAGGTGTGTCCCGTGCGCTCCTATGACCTTTTATTATGCAATTGCGAGCGCCGTAAAAACACTTACCAAAACAAAAAACAAACATATAGTATCTACTCTCTGTGCCATAAAAATTCTGAAAAACACTTTACAACATTCTCATTCCTTGTTTGTAAAATAGTAAAAAAAAAAATTTTTTGGTAGTTCTCACCCCCCAATTATTATTCACCTATTTTCCTGTTTCAGGAATAATAATCGAGTTGAAACTTTAGCCTACTGATATCGGGGTAGATCAAATATTTGAAGAGATTTCAACTTATCATGAATTTCCTTTAGTACTGTAACATATGAACGAAAATTACTTGTTAAACTCTTCTGTAACAGTAAATGGCATTCAAAATGGTTCACTTTCCAACTTGGCAATAGCCTTGTGTTATCAATGAATGTCCGACAAAAACAACAATGGCGGCATTTTGGATGACAGTCAATATCCCAGACGCATTTCATGATTGTAATTAACCACACTAGGCCTGGGTCTAGTGTTTAGTTCATGTAATTTTGACAAATCGATTGTACCTCTATCTAGCAATTTAAAGAAGTGATATATTGTTCAAAATTATTGAAATTGGCTAGTTAGATTAATTATTTATACATGAAGCTTCAGCGAACACCTAGCACACCTCTGTGATTGGCCCAAATATGGATGACGTATTTCCGCATTATTTTTGTCATCTTCCGGGGTTCCCCCAAGACTCTTGGGTTTCCCTCGCCAGTAACTGTTGACTAGATCTCGCTGTGTTTGTTAGTTTTTTTTTGGTATAAAGTTGTGTCTTTTGTAAACGATCTCAGAAATTCTCATTCTATAAATTTACCTTCTCCTCAAAGTTGTACACACACAAGCACACACACACATATGCATGCGCACACACATACATGCATGCACACACACATGCTTACACACGCACATGCACATGCCTACACACGCACACACACATGCTTACACACGCACACACACATACTCAAGCATACACGTGCACACACACACACACGTATACATACACACGCTCACACACATTCACACATGTATGCACACACACACACACATACTCAAGCATAAATGCACACACGCAAACGCGCGCACGCACGCTCACACAGCCCAAGCAGTTGCTGATGAAACCTAGTGACCTAACCAATTGCGCGCTCTAAGCGGCAAAATGAGCCCGCCACAATGAGGTCTAGTCAACTGGCGAGGGAAGCCTCGGAAGACGACAAAAATAGATGGCGGAAATACGACATATATATATATGTCATGTATATTTGGGCCAATCACAGAGGTGTGCTAGGTGCTCGCTGTAGCTTCATGTGTTTTTTATTGCTTACTGTCACTACTACCTATGACATCATGAAATAGACTGATACTCAACAGAAATATATAAATCACATTTTATAGTAATACCACAAGTAGGTATTCCTGCCCAGAGCTTGTTCAATAATTTGGAGTTTTGTAATTGTTGAAATCAAATGCTACAACAGTCAGCCCCAACCCAGTCTCTACTGATTTTATAAATACAGACCTGCAAGCAGCTCCTGATTCTATCCTTGTTTAATATCCCTATAGTACAAGCAGTTGTATCAGCTTTGTTGACACTGCTAGGTCGTGAGAGACTCTTGGGCAGGTTTTAACTTATTATGGATGATCCTCCTTTTACCCCTGATAGAGTGTGACGCCCTCTCAAAGTCTGGTTAGTTTCATTACCGTTGTCGTCAGTCTCACCAGTTGGAAATTATTTTTAAAATTGAAGTCTAAGTCAGTTTGGCTGACAATGTAGTCATAAAAAAAAACTTTTATAAAATATCAGTCACATCGACCCGGGAAAGCTTTACCGGGCTTTCGTTAAATTGCGTGAACCTAGGTCATTGTTGCCTATGGAAACAAACGGGTTTACTTTATTTCGATTGACACTTCAGACTAAGAACAACCATGTAAAATTATTTTTTAAAAGTCAACTGATAATGAAACTAGCAGTGCAGAAACCGCATTTGTCCAGTGATAACTGAGTCGTCACTCTGAGCCAAGTGAGTTAAATGCCTCATATATAATTTTAAATCGTAAAAGTTTAACTAGATTAAAGACAAATCCAGATCTAAATTTTATCTAACAAAATGACAATGTCAAATAAATATTTTCAAAGTCTGCAGGATATTGTTTTAATTAAAGGCGTACCCCTAGATCTTGTAAAGAATAATCAGATAAACATCAATACACGAGGGAGAAGCCAACCAGTGACTCTATAAATATATGATTTGAACAATGTGAGTTTATTATTATAAGTAATTATACATGGTTGGGCTTTTATCATAAATTGAAGCCTTTTTTAAAAATGCAATGGATAAAAACACTTCAAATGTGTATTGTGTGCTTCTTCTCTTTTCAAACACTACACTTCTTTTTTTTATCTTTAACAGATGAAAATGCGTTCGAAAATGTTTCATCCCCAATGTCTGACGCATCAGGGGAAGGAACCCCTGGTCTTGAGTCTCCTGTTGGAGAGACACCAGAGGAGAGAGAGAGAAGAATGACGGAGTTAAGGGAGGAACTGGAAAAGGTATACACATCTGTTTAAATTAAATGCATCAAGGATACTTGCACCTTAATGCTATTCAATAATGACTTTTTAAAGTGCATATTTTACGTGGCTCTATATATATGATTTATACTAGGCAGGAGAAACAGACGAAGACATCAAGGTCAGAGTCAAAAGGCAAGAGGAGCATTCATCATCCTCAGGAATATATGGATGTCTAGGAACTGGGATTGAACACCAAGCTGAGGATCTTCAAAACAAACATGAAGACTGTTCTACTGTATGGTTCAGAGACTTGGTGGCTCACAGCATCAGCAGAAAGGAAACTGCAGAACTTCATAAATGGATGTCTTAGAAGGATAGTGGGGATCAAGTGGTACGATCGAGTCACAAATGCTCAACTGTGGGAAAGAACAAATCAAAGACCAGTAAAGGAAGACATACAGATGAAGAAATGGAAATGGATTGGGCACACCCTGAGGAGACCCCTCGACAAGCATCATCAGACAGGCTTTGACGTGGAATCCAAGGAAAATGTAAGAAAGGAAGACCAAAGATGACATGGAGGCGAGCAGTACAAGCGGAAATGGAAAAGGCGGGGACATCATGGAAACAGCTAGAAAAGGATGCACAGGACAGGCTTTGCTGGTGAAATGTTGTTGATGGCCTCTATGCGCCACTGGAAGCTAAAAAGGGCAAGCAAAAAATACTATATCCATTAAATTCTTCATCTGTGGGGTGTGTGTTTGTGTTTGGGGGAGGGGGGGTGGGGGGTTGCATAATTTTACCACCAGCAAAATTTGGTGGAGCAAAAAAGCGGCATACATTTTTTGTTCTGCAGTATAGTACAGTAACAGCTTTACTGCATATTTGCAATATGATTAGGTCATAATGTAAGTGCCTACGGTTAGAGGTGTTACTAAGTAAAGAGTGACATTCAAAGAAAAGAAGTACAGTCGAACCTGCCCTGAAGGCCACCTCTATAAGACGGCCACCTGTACAAACGGCCAGTTTCCATTTCCTCCCTTGCATTTTTTTCTATATGATTTAACTGTGTAAAACGGGCACCTGTCCAACGCGGCCATGGTCACCATATTTTAACACACAACCTCTATAACACCAAGCAATAACACCTGTCTTAGATGGCCACCTTAGTAACTCCATTACGCGTTTCGTCATAAATTGTGCTTTGGCTCCTGGCATTGTGGGCAAGCCGCCATAATCTAATCACGTGTCGATGTTGTTAGGTAGTCCCTCCAACCGATCATGTTACGAAGGCCCTTCCCACTGTTGACCAATAGGTAACAAATTTTCAGCTGTTAGTGAGGTAAGCGTGTGATCCCTCATAACCCATAAGCCCTACCCAGAACTCATACACAAATCGTAAGTGAGATGAGTGTTTACCCGGTCTGTTACAAAGTAACAATGGACGTTGACGTGAACTTTTGACAGAAGCGTCGCTCGTTCTCCGAGTGGTGGCAACCCATGTATTTGTTTTACCATAGCACTTGGTCCTCCTTGTCTGACACATTACGTTTTATTGTCACCACCCTTGCACAAAACCAGCAACAAAAGAATGAAAAAGAAAAGAAAACCCAGCGAAAACAACAACTACAACAACAGGGAGGTAGTGGCCCAGGCGAAGAGCAGCTCTTCGGGGTTCCAAACATTTCGAACGGATAGGCTACCTCACACACACACACAACAACAACAAAAACAATAACAACCACAACAACAATGTGGCTAGCTTCGGTTGGGACCTCAGAAAGGAATTGTTTGTTTTCTTCATCTTGATCAGTCCTGCCTAAGACGGCCACCTCTCTCATTCGGGCACTTTTCTCCTTGACAATGAGTGGCCGTCTTACACAGGTTTGACTGTATATGAGATTTACTGAGGAAGATATGTAGATGTTCCTATGAGTGAAAGGTCGAATCTAAAATTTAGATAGAAGTGTATTTGCATGCAGCAGCGATTAAAAAAAACCCTCATTTAATCACCACTAACGTCTGGTGTAGCAGTTTAGCACTTCGCTGTCGCACACAGAGTAATTCTGAGTGGGGATAAATTGTTATTGAGTGTCCCCATCTTTCTGCTCCGATGTTGTATCCCTTTCATCCCAGGTTAGCCCTGGCAGCCATGGTCGGAAGCCCTTCTCCTAGATAATCCTAATTGTGTTGAAGGGGATGTGAAAGATCTACATTTAAAAAAAAGAAGTGAAATCACATGTTTAGAAGCAGACCTTATGATGTTTCTTTGTGAATTGTGAATGTAGACTGTATTATGATAATACAATTTGTGGGTGGTTGGTGGATGCTCTGGTCTGGTTTGCTCCTTCTTTCCTATCAAACATCTAAATTGTCCTTATCTCTCATCTCTCCTCATATTTTTGTGTTTGTTACTCTCTTGTAACACCTCTAATCTTCAGCACTTATATGACCTTTTTGTGTAGCAAGTGCTGTAAAACTCTGACTTATACTAAATATGACAATGTCTTGTATGTGTTGTAGCTGGTGTTAAGTGCGTCAAGCTTTGGATATATTCTGCTGTCTAGTGGGTCATGAGTTATGATCCAAAGATGATAACTTCTAACTTTGGTTATCGTCAAATATGTAAATTTAGTACTCATTGTCACTGGTTACTCGAAAAGCACATTTTCCCAGCTCAGCTGTTGCAGTGTTTTTGTTTAATTCATGATGATGTACAGATTTTTTTACTTGATTGAAATAAGTTTTCAGAAAGTGGCACAATAAAACAAGTAGTAGTTTTTGCAATTGAGTTTTAATTTTTAAAAATTAAAGATGGTTTCCTGGATACTGTGTTATTGCTTTGAGATAAAAATTTAAAGAGCTCCGATTGATGCGCAAACTTCTCCAGAGGTAGGAGATTTTTTCCCTAGCCAGTGGAGGGGCTGTTCTATACAAGATTGGTCAGTTTTATTAACCCTATCCGTACGTCATGTTTTACTATCGTATCCATACGACGTGGGGAACTCTGTACACCACTTTCCAAAGAGGAAACTTGGTAGTTAATCCGATGTGTACGTTTTACATAGCAGCCTGTCAAAATGTTTTTTTGAGAAACACTGAAAGTTTCACAGAGATCTTTGCACTAGAAGTATTCTAAAATGTGAAGAATACAACCCCGGGGGTACAAAATGACCCCAGGGCGTATAATAATAAAGATCATTTGTATTGTGGATACCCCGCTCAACAACTAGCTCTATTTACCAGCCTCTGTTGGTAAATACAGCTTTTAACTTCTTATCACAGACAAGCCGTTCCCTGTGACTTGCCATCAGAACTGCTGTGCTGGTGATCTGCTGTCAGGCACATGGTCACACTCCTTTGTGACGACAACAACATCTGGTTAATTTTTGACAATTGCAAAAATATGTGTTCTCTGACTGGTAGTTCTTTCCATTGAAGAAAAACTATCAAAGTATTTTTGTTTGTCTTGAATTAATTACCAGTTTAGTGATCTGTATGTCACTCTCAGATTTTTTGCCAAAATAAGGTCCCAGCATAGTGGGAAAACCCCCTCTGGGGAGAGATAGTTAAGTTTCTAGCTACTTACTTTCTTCAATAGAAGATAAGCTGTTGCTTTATTCGCATAAATGATCATCATTAGTTCAAATGTAAGTACCAGTTAGAAAAAATGCAACTATAACTGCTTAGCAACTCTGGGAGTAATGAAATTTTTGTCAGTGTGTCAGATGTATGTTCAATAGCTTTATTTTACTCTTTCTCTCTGCAAAAGTATTGTCCACTCTGCCGAAACCCTCTTTTGGTACGCATTTAATAGTGATTTAGACTGCTTACGACGAGACTGCCATACACCATTTTGAAGAATGAGGTATGACAGTCTTATACTGAGCAGTTGTTTGCTGGAAGTAAGGAGTCAAAAATATGTTAATCCTTACTCATTACTGTGACATACGATTGGAAACTGCTGTAATTTAACCGCCATGTTTGGCCGGTCTCTCGGCAGGTGGAGTCAGAGATCAACATGCTGCGACAAGTTCTGGGCAGCAAAGTCCGACACGCCACCGAGCTCAAGCGCAAGCTGGGCATCACACCCTTCCAGGAGTTCAAACAGGACCTGCAGTCGGGCATTCAGCAGATCCGCAGCTCAGACTCGTAAGTGGGACCCATCCTGTTTTACAGACCCATTGTTTGTGGAGAGCCTGTAATGACGGACTGTCTTTTCGTTTTGCAAATCTCGCACGAGTGAGCCTTGTTTCCTGGCTGATGAGAGGGAGTCCTCATCTCAACACTGTTTAGTGTCAGACTCTGCTATACGTTGTTTCTTCTTCTTCTCCTTCACCTCATAATGGACAACCCGGTCTCTACTTAGAAAGGTGCGTGTGGAGTTTTGGGTCCTTCTGCCAAGAGGTGGGCCATTATTTCCTTCTAATACACTGTTCTGAAAAGGGATGTATGACGGAGTCTTACACTGAGCCGTTGATTTGTCAGTTTAATTTATTTTCTAGAAGTGTTTATGGAGATCAAAGCCTCCGGAGTCTTGATGTCTTGCCTCTGGTGAGAGTGCCTGTACACCTCGTTCACATTTTTATTTTTATGAACCTCTTCCCCCTTTTTGACAGTCACTTCTCACTTTTTTTTAAAGCTCCTTTTCTTTTCTTTTTTTTTGTGCAAAGAAACAAGTGTCATGGCAAGGGTTGCTCTCTGTGCAGAGAAAAGAAGATAATTTTTCCGTCTTGGATAATGGAGTAACTTTTTCTAGATCCTGAGAAACATTTAAAAAGACAGCTCAAGAAAATTATTTTATTTAATAAACAAGTCTCATGGCATGATTTGCTCTCAGTGTAGAGAAAAGAAAATCATTTTTCCCCACTAGCCTTCCTTTCTTCTTCTTGCCCCAGATTCATGTTACATCGACGGCTTAACTGTTTGTGGATGGTTGGCAGGTGCTCTGGTGTGGTTTTCTCCTTCTTTCGTGTCAAATATCCGTCATCCCTATCTCTACTCCTGCTTTTCTTTTTATATTACTCTCTTATAGCACCTTTAATCTTCGGCACTGGTATAATGACTTATGAGTGTCACCAGTGCCATAAAACTAATTTTAAAAAATAAAAAAAAAAAAAATATGTATATATAAGATAAGATAAGATAAGATAGTACTTTATTATCCCAGAGGGAAATTTTCCTTGGCTGTACAGGACCGTAAAAACACATGCAGGTTACATTTTAAAAAATTAGATTATATATATTACTCTCATTAAAATTCAATATGAAAGGAGAAGTAAAGCTGACAAAATTTACATTTACATCAAATGCATCAATCAACCACATGCAGGAATTTAGATACTAGACCTTTGGAGTTATATACAGATACGTACTCTAAGAGCAACACACATCTATGCTCATTCTGACAAAAGCCTTATGCTAGATGGTAAAAAACTTCTTTTATATCTTTCTTTCTTTGTTTGAGGAGGTACATATCTGCCGCAGCGTGATCTTAACATTTTTATAATATAACCATTTATCTCTGAATGCTTCTTTGCTTTTATGCTTAAAATAGCAAGAGAACTCCTTTTTTTGTCATCTTTGTATCTTCCGACATCGATATATTTTCCTTATAGGAATGAGGTGGTGAGCGATTGTGGAGAGCCACTGGTAGATCTTATTTCTTTTCTTTCCCTCTGTTGTTTCTATATGTCTGTCTGTCTTATTTTTTCCCTGCACTAAATGACTTTTATTATGTCAATATGCTTATGTCAAGCTGAAGCAGCTATTGAAGTAGAGATTTTCTGTCTCAGATAAGGGAGTTCACATCTTTGTTCTTTTTTTCTTTCTTTTTTTTTTCCCCAACAGAAACAGGGGAGAATGTGTTTCCTTTTCCTTTCTTTTTTTTTGTTTTGTTTAAAAAAAATAATTTTTTTATGTGTTCAGTCTTGGAATTGGTCTTGAACGGTTTGCGCTATTATGTCAGAGAAAATTTCCTTTTCTTCCAGGGTTGTGAAAATTAGATCGAAAGCGTGGTAAGATCTTGTGCCATTTTTCTTTTTAGTAACCCTCCAACAATGAGCTAAAGACCAGTGAACCTGATGCCAGCCTGATACTATTTTACTGCTCTGATGTCATTTTGTGTAGAGATATTTCGCCAGACTTCAGTTTTGGATAAAATAAAAGACAGCTGCTGCTAGTGCGAAGATAAGTCATCTGTTAATCATGACAGTGGAGAAACTCGGTTCTGATTTTTTTTTATGTAAAGAAAAGGTGAAACATTTATTTATAAATTCAAATTCAAATATTTTTTAAAAAGTTGCACTAGTAGCCATCATCATGCATGGTCTTTTGTGTCTCTCTGACTGGGGACTTGGAAAAGGGATGATCTCCTGAGGTTTCCCTCCCCTCGTGAGCGCTAATAGTTGTCCTTAATACTACTTCCCTTTCTTTTTACATTTTTGGATGATCAATTTTCTTTGTACCCCCCATTCTGTTACTTTCATATCATGTTCCCCGCGTGAGGTACTTTTTTTTGGGGGGGTGTTTGGAGATAGAGGGAAGTATGTTGAAGAAGGTTAATTTTTTTTCTTTTTTTCTTTATTTCGGTTTCTTTTTTTCCCCGACTGTTGATCTGCTACTTTTTAGAATACTTTAAAGATGTTATTTACCATGAACTCCTTGGCTCACTGGATTAAGCTGAAACTCAATTATATCACAGAGCAGCTGTAGACTTTTTTCAACGCTTTGCTTTTTTGCTTTTCCATTATGTTTTGCCCTTCTAAGCGATGGGGACGGGGGTGGGGGTGGGGGTGGGAGGGATGAGGAAAGGGGGAGGTGGGAATGATCTATGTAAGATGTATGCCATCTTTTCAAAATCTCAAGCCCCAAATGTTTTGTGTTGTACGAATTATGAAGGTGCCTCAAGGTCTCTGTTTGTGTGGGAATGGAGTGTGTATATGTGTGTGTTTGTATGTGTGTGTGTTTGTACATGTGTGTCTTTGTATGTGTGTGTGTGTATGTATAATATGTGTGTGTCTGTATGTATGGGTGTGTCGTGAGGGTGGCTATTTAGGTTTAGGGGAAGGGAGTATTTTGTGGACCTGGATGCTTGGGCGTGCTGGTGATCCTAAATGGCCCAGTGTTTGGATAGGAATACGACTGACAAGTGACACCCTCCAACCACCCATGTAGGACTGTTTATCATATCATATGTACGACACCGAGGACCTGCGTCTTTTTGGTGTAGCAGTTATGTGCTTGGCTGTCATACAAGTGAAATTTAAGTTTGATTTCCTAGGGGGGTAAGTTTTTATTGAGTGTTTTGGTCCGTTGACTGGGATGTTTGTATCCCTCTCAGCCCAATTTGTTCCTTTCAAGTAGTGATGACAATTAGCAGGAGACCAGACGAAGTGGATATCAACATCAATGGATCCCAACTAAAACAAAGCAGAGAATTCAAATACATGGGCAGCATTTTCACAGAAAATGGAAAATTAGATCAAGAAATAGAAACTTGATTCCAGAGAGCCAACGCAGTCAGCTATCAACTCGGCCCTATCCTGAAACATCCCAATATCCCCTTGATCATCAACACTATTTTCCTTCCAACGCTCACATATCAGTGCTAGACATGGTCCCTAACAAAAGCCCTAGAGAGGAAACTGGTCACATGCGAGATGAAATGCTTAAGAACAGCGGTCAACAAAGCAAGAAGAGACAAAATTAAAAATGAAGTCATAAGGGACTCCGTTGGAGCAACACCAGTCCTACCACACATTGAAAAACAAAAGGTCAAGTGGTTCGGACACCTCACGCGGATGCCCTCAAACCATCCAGCTCTGAGAGCATACAACTTTAAATATTCTGGATGGAGAGCCAGAGGAAGACCAAGGCGACGATGGAGTGAATCTGTGGCAGACACTTTCAGAGCTCACGGGACATCCCTCCTACAGGCCACTTGCCTTGCTGCAGACAGACGCCTGTGTCTCCCCGCGACACCCCCCGGTACAAGCGGAAGAAAAAAAGTAAAAAGTAAAGTAGGGTTGGAAGCTTGCCTTCGAAATGAGTTAAACTGTGCCGATGGAGGTGCAAAAACACTTGCATTAAAAAGCGAAAAAGATCAAAGACATTAAAAAACAAAACAAAAAAAAAGGCACGAGACCGGTAGGTCTTGCTTCTCTTCTCCCCCCACCCCCCCCCACTCTCTCTCTCTCTCTCTCTCTCTCTCTCTCTCTCTCTCTCTCTCTCTCTCTCTCTCTCTCTCTCTCTCTCTCTCTCTCTCTCACTCTGTGTGCGTGTGGGTGTGTGTGTGTTTGTGTGTGTGTCTTGCTTTTTCCAAGCACCATTACCGTGTAGATGTTTTTCTCTTTGCTCAAACAAACAATAAGCAAACAAACGTTGTTTTTTTTATTCCTTGTCTTTTATTGTACTTCGAAGGTGACAGTTTCAGAGGTAAGGTGGCCTTATCAGTGTAAGGTATTGACAAGTGTTAGTTGTTTGGAGAAGAAATGTAACTTTAGTCTGGACAACAGATGCATATCATCCAGTGTTTGTGGCTGGTGGAATATTCCTGTTCTTTTCGGGTTTATTGTCTTTTTGCTCATGCAGCAATTAGTAAAACTGCTGAAGGTTCCAGAAAGAAAAGAAAATCTCCAGGTAGCAGGAAAAAATGAGTTACTTCTCGTTATCCACAAATGGAAATATCCGCCAAAAATAGACACATTAAATTTGTAGATTTTTAATTGATGCCATTTTCATCAAGTTGAACATGTCTTTTATCATTTCATACAATACACCTACAAACCCTACCTTTAAATTTGATGTATCTATGTCCATAGGGCTAAAATCTGAGAACAAACTCAATTTGTAAACAAACCTCACCTTTATAGGTAGGGTGGAAAAATATTGAAGGTGCGATGAAGATCTGGAAGTCTGTGTAGTGCTGTGTACATTGTTTGTGGGTGAATTTACGCATGTTGAGGACTATGTAGGCTGTTTCACCCCAGTGTATGTTTACCTATGTGTCGTTGTCTGTTTACTTGTTTGTTTTTTAGTCATGTGTTGGTGTTGATGACTCCTTCTTTCCTATCAAACATCTATGGTCTTCCTCTCCACTCCATCTTTTTTGAGTTTCTTACTCTCTTGTAACACCTCTAATCTTCGGCACTTATATGACCTTATTGTGTTGCAAGTGCCGTAAAACACTTACTAAAACAAGGATGTGTGTTTTGTTTTGCTAAGCTGTTTGTTTTCTTGTGTGTTTTTATCCATTTTTCTCTGAATGTGTGTGCGTGTGTGTGCCATTTTTCTTTGTCTGTGTTTACCAGCGTCTTTGGTGTAGCGGTTAGGCGCTTCGATGTCGCGCGCAGGAGACCCCAGTTGGATTCCTGAATGGGGAGAACTTGTTTTATTGATTGTCTTGGTCTTTCTGCTGTTGGGATGTTGTATCCCTCTCAGTTTGGATTGATCCTGACAGGCAAGGTCAGAAGCCCATCTCCTAAATGATCTAACTTGTGTCAATGTGGGTGTGAAAACACGGACATTGTGACTTTTTTTGGTTTCCTTTTTGGTCTGTATTTGTGACTCGCGTGTTTGCCCTTCCCAGGTACCAGAAGACCAATGATACTTTGCACAACTTGAATGAGAAAATCTCAAATTCGCAAGCGTGAGTTGTCACAATTCTTGATATCTTGTCGCTGCCAGTTGGGTTTCTGTTTGTGAGCAGAGCTGTCCCCCTTCCAGGCTCAGTGTAGTTAGTTTTGTTTTATTTTACATTTTTATTTTGCGATTCATGATTTGGTTTTTTGCTTTTATTTGTTTTCTATTTCTTTGCCTTGACCTTGGAGAAATATTGTGTGATGGTTTTGGTTTTATTGCTTTTTGTCGTAATTTTTATTTTTCTTGTCAGAAGT